GTAAACACTCTGGCTCCACCTTAAGCTGGGCCAGCATCATCATCACTGCTGCCATTGTGTTATCAGTGTTTTTGTTTAAAACTGGAGGCTACCTGGGCTTAATGTTGTCAAACCTTTTATTCACATGCAGCTTCTGAATATGTTTTTAGTGGCAAATATGCATCACTTTTTCATGGCGACGGTAGCACGCTACAGAGTGTTAAACGAAGCATCGAATGTTTGTCGAGAATTTTTTATAATCGAATCAATCAATCGCTGCAGCTTTAGTAGAAAGAAGATGTTTTCTGCTTTCAAGAGAACACAGCAAATAGTGCAAATGGTAGATATTTATCTTAATTATTGCTGCTTGAACGGCTCATCTTGTACACATTGTACGCTACTGATGCTGGAAGTATCAGTAGTACAAAACAACTGACTGTAGTACACTGGGATGTGTTATTTAAACTGCAATGTTTCCTGCATAATTCCATTCTACGTGTAGCTTGCCATCACCAGTGTGTGTGTGTGAATGGGTGGATGACAGGTTGTGTAAAGTGCTTTGGGGTCCTTAGGGACTAGAAAAGCGCTATACAAATACAGGCCATTTACCATTTACCATTTCTATTTGTGGTTGTAGAGAGAGCCGTGTTTGTGGGAGACTTAAGGAGTTGGAATGTGTTGGAACAAAAAACTCTTTTTAAGACATGGCTTAATGACATGGAGAGCAGCGATAACAGTGACTGGGTCACCCAGCCAGTAGAAAACAGATTGATCAAGTTGACATGTCATCTTGTATAACCTGCAGACTAAGGCCTGGGTGAATAATTTCATTTTAATCTCAGTTATTATTTTGGTTTCCAGTGATTATAAAAAACATCAGAGAAAAAAAAGCATCACCTTAGTAACTGCATGACATCAATTTAATGAATAAATTTATGTTAGAGATTTAATAGAAAATTATGCGGCTGTCACATTATTCTTTGCAGACTTTAATTTATACCATCGTTATAATAATTAAAGTGGGCGGTTGCATTAATTTGTCTCCTAGAAGCATCATCACTGAATTTTGCATTTGTATCAACTTGTGAACAGTTCTGTTGTCCATTTTATTTGCTCTTTGCACCTTAAATATCATCTACTTGGGTTTCTCTTTTGCTCTTCTCCTCCCTACCAGGCTAGCCTCCTTGCCAGAAAAGCCTGTGGCTATTGACTGGAGCTTCTACAGGAGTGCAGTGGCCAAAGCCGGGATGGTTGATGAGTTTGAGAAAAAGGTGAGCTTTTCTCAGCAGGTTATTAGTCAATATTAAAGCACCAAAT